GTCCGAGGACTACTCTGGTGGTCATGTGGCCAGCATGACTGCATCAAATGCTGTTGCCTTCCCATTGAGAAGTGGTACCTGTCTATCTACTTGCATTTGCATGCTTTCGAACTGCTAGGTTGACAGGAGCTGGGTCTAATGACAGGAGCTCACCCCATCATGCAGCACCTGGGCCTCGAACTGCCAACCTTCTGATCTTCATATCATCAGAATTGGCATCTTAACCATTAAGCCACCACATACCCCCTATGTAAGCTACAAACACAATGCAGAACCTCAGCCAATGTTTATAATGAAAATGTATTGCCCTGAAATACTCAGTGCCTGGAGACTACTTTTTTATACTTCCAATATTTTGAAAAAAACAGAAGAGGTATGTTAGGGGAGGGAGTGGACACATTTATTTTGCCAGGAATTCAGAACAACATCTGGTGAAGAAAATGGTAAGCACTACAGGATCTATGCACTTTGTAATGGATACAAATGTCCCAGTCTATCACATAGAACCGTCCTGCTTGAACCACAACTTTACTGCTACCACTACAAATGCTGTTTGCAACCAGGTCTGTGGAATACCTGAGAGGTATACAGTTGCCCCTCCCAATTTGCGGGGGATCTGTTCTGGACCACCACCCCATGAAAATGGCAGTTCGCTAATCTTCGAGCCCCATTGAAACTAATGGCCCGCGTGCAGCCATTCAACATATAGGCACTTGTCCCTCCCCGTGAAGAGCGAGACCACGGACTCGAAGTCCACAAACGGGGAGGGACAACTGTACTTTGATTTACTAGCTTCATTTGGGTCTAGGCTGCAAGTTACATCCTGATGTATACGGTGTATAAAGTGGTCCTGTGCATTCTTTCCTAACCTTTCAAATTTTTATGCCAGCCCAATTCATACAGCATTTTACATTACCAGTGTTTCAACACTGCAGGTAGATTTGTCTTCAATAGCATTTTATTACAAAAACAAGCTTAATAATTGAACCCAGTTTAGCTTGATAAAATTCACAATGCCTATCTTTAGATGGTTTAGGAAGTACACACACTTTCCCCTCTTGTTCACAATCATACCAGTCTACTAGACAGCACATCAAGGCATATCTTCTCCATTTAACCTTCCAACTTTCATGCAGAAAGAGATGATCCCATCAAAAGAAAGTAAATTGAAAAAAACTCATTGGACTCAATTTAACCTTCTGTTTATAGCTGGGGTCAAATTTACCCCAACAATTCTGAAAAACTACATAAAACTGTAAGTCTTCCCCAGTTCTATCTTCAAGTTATTTCTCAACTAAAGTATGAATTGCCAATTGTGTTTCAGGACCTGTCCAGTGAAATATAATGAAAAATATATGTGTTTATTTTCACTGCTTCTTGGGTCAATTGGAACGGCTACGAAAACTGGAAAAAAATATGTATAGAACAGTAAGGATCAACATCATCTGATAAAAGTCTGTTTAATTTTTTAGATACCCATGTTTACAGATTCTTAGGTGAGAACCTGTTCTTTCTGATCCTTGCGAGAAAGGAACAAGGTGATGAAAGAAACCATCCTGAATCCAACAGTGCTGTTGCTGTCTAGCTCAATGTCTGTTCTGCTACTGAAAAAAGAATTCCTAGAGTTTGAACAAGGGAGGGATTTAATGCACTTTTCCATTATGCAACTGGTTTATATATATTGCAAATAAAACCTGTTTAAAGGTTGCTTAAAATATAGTACTGTGTCCTTTTGTTTCCATCTTTGCTTGATTTCTCTAACAGCAGGGGGGAAAGGGATGTTCTGAAAACGACTAATGTCTGATGTTTAGTCTTGTTGGGCACAGTGGATAACAGTTGTACACTGTCTTGTTCTACCATTTGTGTAATGGTTAAACCCAGTGCAATGATACTGGCAGTATTTTTCACTCTGCTAGTAGCACATTTAATCTTGGCAATTTAAGCTGAATCTACACTGCAGGATTAATGCAGTTTGATACTGCTTTAACTGCAATGGCTCAATGCTTTCGAACTGCTAGGTTGACAGGAGCTGGGTCTAGTGACAGGAGCTCACCCCATCATGATGTGTCCAGCCCTCTCCTGCCCCTGAAATGGGGTGTGATGATGGCACACTGTAGCTTGCAGGGGCAGCCATGTCATCTGGGATTTGTGGTTTTCTGACATGTTTAGCCTTCTCTGTCAGAGACCTCTGGTGCCATAGCAAACTGCAAATCCCAGGATTCCATAGCATTGAGGCATGGCAATTAAAGTGATGTAAAACGGCATTAATTCTGAAGTGTGGCATCAACTGTAGGCTGGCATCATAGTTAGTATTTATGAGATTGTAAGCCAGATTTACTTTCTCATAGCTTGAGATTCACATTTACTGTTAATAATGACTGAGCATGGCCCCCAAACCCTACCTCTTAAGCCAAAAAAGTAGTTGCAGGAGGACTTCAGGAGGTCTCTCCAGCTGCCTGTCTTAGTACAACCTGCGACCAGGACAGCATTTCCCAGGACTGTAAGTTGCAGAGCCTCAGAGACCCTTCAATTGGGGCACAACTGGTTTAAGAGGTAGATGTTTTGTGGGGGTGGTGGCATCAGCAGAAGTAGCTACAATGACAGAACTCTGTTGTAGTGACATCTGATGATACAGGATCTTGGCCATTTTTCTTTACTTCTGTAATAGACTAATTGCTAACTTTTTATTAAAGAGGTAAAGGTAAAGGTATTCCCTGTTGACAAGGTTGTCAAGTTGTGTCTGTAGGGGGCAGCGCTCATCTCCATTACTAAGCCAAAGAGCCAGCGTTGTCAGAGACTACTCTGTGATCCTGTGGCCAGCATGATTGCACAGAATTGTTTACCTTCCCACTGAAGTGGTACCTATTTATTGGTATTTGCATGCTTTCGAACTGCTAGGTTGGCAGAAGCTGGGACTAGTGACAGGAGCTTATGCCATCATGCAGCACCCGGGCCTCGAACTGCCAACCTGCCGATCTTGCAATCAAGTGGCTTTACCACTTGAGCCATTGCTTCCCTCTTTTTTTATTTTTATTAACTTTTTATTATATTACTACAAATGGTGTCATAGATCACTGGTATTTCATATGTTTTGTTGTTTGTTGTTGTGTGCTTTCCCGTTGTTTCTGACTTATGGTGACCCTAAGGCAACCCTATTATAGGGTTTTTCGGGGGCTGAAAATGTGTGATTTGCTCATGGTCATCCAATGGGTTTCCATGATCGTACAGGGAGTCGAACCCTGATATCCAGAGTCATAGTATAACACTCAAACCACTACACCATGCTGGCTTGCCTGTTCCACATGTTTATATATGTTATTTTGTTCATTTGTTTTTAAATCCCTGTTAGAATCTTACTTGTGCCCCAACAAAAATGCTCTTTTCTGCTTCTCATTATAGCTATTTACATAACTTAATAATTACATATTCTGCTTCTGAGCTGATTTCGACCCCAATTCTGACAATGCATAGAGGTCCAGATGAACTGTAACAGCTGGTAACTTTTCACCAGTATGTCTCTAGCCAGAGATTTAGCTTTAAATAAAATGTGTTCTGGTTGGCATACTGAAAGAGGGGAGAAGATACAAAATTCCCCTATCATTTGTTTACCACTATCCAGGGCCAGAATCCAGTTGGTACATTATGCCAGAGTAACTACACTGGGATAGGCAGTGGCACCAGCAGGAAAATGGCCAGGACACAGCAGCCATGAAGAATGTAGAGAACTGTAGAGAAATAGGCTGCTCAAAGCCAGCAGATTTTAATTGGTCCCCATGCTACCAGTACACAGCCCTTGAAAAGTAAGGGGGGTTGCAGACTGCCAGAAATAGTGCAAATTGAGTCCACTTTTAGGGTTAGGGTTAGTGCTAGGGAATCATGGGAATTGTTTTTTTTCTGAGACATTGAGCCTTCTCTGTCAGAGAGCTCTGGTGCCGCAATAAACTACAGTTTCCATGATTCCCTAGCACTAACCCTAACCCTAAAAGTGGACTCAATTTGCACTATTTCTGGCAGTCTGCAACCCCCCTAACACTGCTAGCATAGCACACCAATAGCTTTCTGGCCTGGATGAGTAAAATGCAAGGGTTGGAAATAACTAGTTGTTTGAATTCTTGAGTCATTAACACATTAGATTTTTCTACTTCTTTGGCTTAGTGCATTAAATTTCCTTATTGACCCTGAAGTTAAAATTGTGCTTTAGCAATTGCAGAAGAAGGGAATGGAATGAGGTACTGGGTGGGTTGTTTGGTTGGTAGGTTGGTTAGCTGATAAGAAGCCATGCCCCTTACAAAATATCAAGTCTTTTAGGCCTGAAGGTTGGTGTGTCTTCCTCCTTCCACACCTACTCACACCTACCCATTCTGCCTGTGTGAGTTTTGGAGAGGCTGCATTGAGGTTCTTTTCAATTCCCATATATTGAATTTATACTGTTTTCTCTTGCATGTGCTTTTTTAATATATAACATTAATTATATAGAACAGTGATATCAAACCTTTTAGGCACCGAGTACCCAAACTAAATGGGCTTCCAGCACCAGGTGTTAGTTACCCCATGGCAGAGGTGGGACTTCTGGGGGTGACTTCCACACTATGGGGGCAGGACTTCTGGGGTAGTACTTCTCCCCCCCCCCCCCACACACACACCTTCCTGGGCCTTCAGCTGCCTGTTCCTCCTCCTCCCCCTACACTTTCCTGGGCTTTCAGCTGCCTCTCCAAAGTTAACTGAAGGCCTAGGATGGCCAGGAGGAGAAGGAACAGGCGTGCACCTTTTCCTCCTCTTCCCTATTCCGCATGTCAGGGAAAATGTCTTCATGTGCCATCTCTGGCATGCATGCCATAGGTTCATCAACACGGATATAGGATAAGGTGTGAACCCCTTATCAAAAACTTTAGTATATTCCTTTTGCATACATTGATAAAGACTTGGATAATCAGATCAAAAGATTTCTTCAGTCTCACTTCCATTTCTTCTTTTCTTGGCCTTTCCCCCTTTATCTGTTGTTTGGGTTGATAGTAATGAATTAATTTCTTAATAACTATCATTTCATATTATCAAATTAATTTTCAAACTCAATGTTCCAGGTTTTGCTTATGGCTTCCATTTGCCAGTGATTAACTAAGTCTATCCTGTATCAGGAAATTGTCTTCCCATCCACAAGCAAAACAGGGACTTTTTAAACACAAGACTGCTTTTAATTTATATTTCCATGAGGAGGGATGTGTGTCTGTGTGTGCCAAACTAGGGAAAAGGGTGGTTATTAAGTGTGTACTGCTAAATGCTGCATGTGATAAGGTGTTAGCACAAACAAATGCTGCAGTGCCAGAAAGATGATGAAGGTACAATAGGGAAGAGAGCAGTACTGACTGAAAAGAACTACTTCATTCTTATTTCTATCTTTTCTTCAACATATACTATTCATAATTCCACTAAAGTATAATACTATTAACTTATTAGTAATTAACTTATCTCTATAATCAATTGCTCCCAATCACCAGAGCCTGATATCTTCATATTATTCCATCCTCCACAATGTAACTCTTCTTGTGGAGGTGAACCACCTTCCTCATTTACTAGAACCTTTTGTACAAATATCTTCCATATTGCTTCAAAATAATTTCTCTTCATTATTCCTTTTTTAACCTTAGTTCCACATTCACATGTTAACTTATCATTAATTGTCATTTGCTATACTTCTTTAGACCGGTCTTGTGTTTGTGGATCTCCCTGAACTTTCCATTTCTTTGCTATAATTAATCTTGCTGCTGTTAATAAATTTGTAAGTCCTTCATAGCCTGGGTGCAGTTGATCTTATCATATATAGACAATAATGCTATCTTTGGGCATATTTCTAACTCAATTTCTGTTCTCTTTTATTTCTTTAAATACTAATTGCCAAAAATTATTTACAGATCTACAACCCCATCACATATGAATATAAGTACCAGTTTCTTGACAACCCCTCAAACATATCCTTGAATAATTCTTATTGATATGATTTAACCTTATTGGTGTTAAATACCATCTCCAAATTAATTTATAGTAATTCTCTATTATCCATATAGATTTTTTTTAAATAACGTTGATTCCAAATTTTCCCCCGCTCTTGAATGTTTATCATTTGTGCTAAATCATCCTCCCATATTGTCCTAAGATATTCTTCTTTCCCTCCAGATGTTTTAGACTGGCATCCCCATCAGCTCCAGAAAGAATGGCCAATGATCAGGGATGCTCGGAGCTTCTGGAAAGTACCAGGTGGGAGAAAACTGTCCTATTGCTTGCAGGAGCCCAATGATCACTTTTGTGCAAGCTTTGATTCCACTTCTGCAAGCAGGCACACAAGTCATTACAACAGGCTGGCTATTCCATCAACTGTTAGACTAGTTCATCCATAATTGGATAGATCTTCAGTAGACTAAGGAGGGGATGCAGGCGGGCAGCCATGGGCCACCCTGGGAAGTGGTGGATTGAGGCCGAGGCTGCCCCATGCCTTGGCCCCGATCCTCCCTTTCGCCGCCTGGGAAAGGAGCTCTAAAATACCACTCCTTCCACAAGCTGCAAAAGGGACGCCCAAAGAGCCACCATGAGGCTCTTTTCTGTCCCTTCTGGCTCAGCATGTCCAGACGCTGAGTCAGTAGGACGTCATCGGAGCGCCTATCAATAACGTTCTCAGGAAGGGATGGGGCGCCCAGCGTACGGCTGCCCCTCCCCTTCCTTGGCTTGAAGACGGCACAAAGCGCCGCCTGCAAAGGCCACTAAACTTAGTATAAGATTGCTTGTACTAGTTGTGCTCATTGTTCCAATCCAGTAGCTCTTACACAATCATTAGGTGAACACTGCCATCCTTTGTGCTTTCCCTGCTTTCCCAAGATCGAATACAGTGCTATATCAATTGAAGCTATGACCCCAGTATGCATTAATGTGTATATACAAGAATCAATGGACAGGTTCATCTATAGTCCAGCATGTACCAAAACAGGGACCAAAACTCAATTTCATGCACTCTCTCCTACAGAACCTTTACATGGCCAGGACCACCTCAGTTACTTGTCCTACATTTGAGGCTCATTTTCACAGCAGATGGGTCTGGCCTACTGGTATCATTTTTTATTTTATTTATTGTTTGATTATACATGAAAGATCCCATTTCACAATTAGGTTTCTTCATATTGTAAGGAAGGGGAAAGCAAGAGCCTGAAGGTTGCTTCTGTGGCTCACCACATGTAAAACCTATGAAACAAAAGCCATGTGTGAAATGAAACTTAAACTATTTTGTACCCATAGATACAGAAATAGCCAATAAAGACAGGAGTTTTATCAGATGAAGGCCTAACACAGTAGAAAATTCTAATAAACTGAGTGTTTTGATGGTCTGGTTTGTCTGATTCACATCACTCATTCCTCAATTGATGAAAAACACGTGCAAGGAAATTATCCCAAAGATTTCACCAAAGGTAGAATGTTTCGTAACACTTCACTACAACTCAAAAAAAGTTTTCCAAAGGAATCAAGGGTCCTGTGCTGAGATATTAAATAAATGTTGTTGTTGTGTACCTTCAAGTTGTTTCTGACTTATGGTAACCCTATTATGGAGTTTTCTTGGCAAGGTGTGTTCAGAGGAGGTTTGCCATTGCCTTCCCCTGTGCCTGAGAGAAAGTGACTTGCCCAAGGACACCCAATGGGTTCCATGGGCGAGCAGGGAATCGAACCCTGGTTTCCAGAGTCATCATCCAACACTCAAACCACCATGCCATGCTGGGTTCATTAAATAAATACATACATAAATGGATTCAGCTGCTAGTCACAAAGTGATAAAATACAAGGAAATTAAGTAATGCACATACTGGTATGAGCAAGCCCTAAGATGCTCACACAAGGTAGCTTTACTGAGAGTGGTCATTTTGCTATGGCCAGATGGACACCTCTTCAAGCTTTACCTGTGTACATGGTGATTGCCCCAAACTAAGGGTCTAATGTGAGGAGGCTCTTGCCTCTACAATGTTACACATCAGATGGAAAGTATTTACAGCAACATCAGCTATGACAGAAAACTACACACCCTGCTTGTCATGCAGGCAGGAGCATTTAAAGATCCAGCAGACAGAGATCTAACTTGACCACACCAGCACCTGGTGCTGGCACTTATCTATTTCCCATTAGGGATTGAGTAAGTACATTGCCAGATGGCAGACAGCAAAGTGATTCTATTTAAAAGTGTTCCATCCCCAAGAATGGAACCCTATCAAATATATATATATACAGAGAGAGAGAGAGAGAAAGCAATTTGGTATT